ATTTCATCACCACAAGGCTGCCGTGTGTCACCATTCTAGAGCCACACCAGCTCTCTTACCCCCATTCCTAACCCCTGGCAAGCACTATAATTTTGTTATTTCAAGAATATTCTAGAATGTTATTCACCATTTTACAGTGTGCAAGCGTTTGAAATTGGCTTTTTCCACTCAATATAACTCCCTTGAGACCTGTTGAAGTTCTTGAGTGTATCAGTGGTTTGCTCCTTTTAATAACTGAGTACATTCAGCCCTCTGTATCCAAAGGTTCCACATCCTCAGGTTAAAAATATTAGAAAGAAATTTCAGGAAGTTCCAAAAGGCAAAACTTGAATTTGCTGCAAGCCAACGACTATTTCCATAGCATTTATGTTGCATTTACAATGATTTCCATAGCATGTATGTTGTATTAGGCTTCATAAGCAAGCCAGAGATGATTTAAAGTATACAAGAGGATGTGCGTAGGTTATATGCAAATACTACACTTATGCCATTTTATATAAGGGACTTGAGCATCCTCTGATTTCGGTATTCTTGGTTGGGGGGAGGGTGCGGTTCTGGAACCGGTGCCTGGCGGATACTGAGGAATAACTATAGTAGGATTGACTGTGCTGCAGTTTATTCAACTCTTTCCCCATTAAAGACATCTGGGTTGTTTCTGGTATTGGCAAATTTGAATAAAACTGCTGTGAACATTTGTGGAAAGGCTTTTGTGTGAACATAATTTTCATTTCTTTGAGCTAAATTCCCAAGAGTACAATGATTGAGTGATATAGAAACCGCATGTTTAGTTTTAAAAGACATTGTCAAACTCATTTCCAGCGTGGCGGTACATTTTACATTCCTGCCGGCGATATATGAAAATCTAGTTTCTCTTCATCTTCACCAGCATGTGGTGGTGTCAGCCTTTCTGATAGGTGTGCCGTGATAGCTTACTGTGGCTTTAATTTGCGTGCATCTAATGGCTGATGGTGTTTATGTGATTGCATGTGCTTATTTTTCATCTGTGTGTCCTCTCTGTCCTTGTATGTTGCTCCTTTTCTAACTGGACTGACATTTTTCCTCTACTGTTGAGTACTGAGAGTTATTTACATATTTTACATACAACAGCTCTGTTGAATACGTGGTTTGCAATTATTTTCTCCTGGCCTGTCGCTAATCTTTTCATCCTCTAAAGAGGACCTTGGGCAGAGCAAAACTTTTAATTTTGTTGAGGTCTAAATTACCAATTTTTTCTTTTATGGATCATGTCACATCTGAGAACTCTTCATCTACTTCTAGATCCCAAAGACTTCCCATTCTTCCCCTAAAAGTTTTATGATTTTATGTTTCATGTTTTACATTTAAAGCCATGATACATTTTGACTTAGTTTCTGTATAAGGTGTGAAGTTGAGGTTAATGCTCATTTTATTTTTGCCTGTGAATGTCAGTTGCTCCAACACCATTTGTCGAAAAGGGTATCCTTTCCCATTGAATTGCTCTGGCAGCTTTGTCAAAAATCAGTTGAGCACATTTGTATGGACCTGTTTCTAAGTTCTTTGTTCTATTTCATTGGTCTGTCTAGATACCACCCAAACCATGCTGCCTTGATCACTGCAGCCATACAGTTAGCCTTAACATCAGGTAGAGTGATTCCTCCCACATTATTTTGCTTTTACAAAATTTGCTTTGGCTATTCTAGGTCCTTCCCTTTCCGTGTAACCTTTAGAATAAGCTTGTGTACGTCTACAAAACACCTTTTGGGGAATTTGATAAGAATTGTATTAAACCTATAGATCAGTTTAGAGAAAACTGACATCTTTACCATATTGAATCGTCCAGTCCACAGAGAGTCTCTCTCCATTTACTTGGGTCTTCTTTCATTTCTGTTATCTGTATTTTGTAATTTTTCAGCATATAGATTCTATGCCTGTTTCGTTGGATTTATACCTCAATAGTCCATTTTATTTGGAGCAATTATAAACTGTAAGGTGTTTTTAAAATTTTGATGTCACCACGCTTGTTGTTCGTACATAGTAATGCAGTTGATTTTTGTGTGTTTTCCTTGTAACCTGCAACCTTGCCAAACTCAATTATTCTAGGAATTTCTGGTAATTCCTTTGGATTGTCTATGTAGGCAGTCATATCACCTGCAAATAGAAATGGTTTTATTTTTTCCATTCCAATATATATGTTTTTCTTTTTTTCCCCCAAGATTTAAAGTTGTATAATTGTCTCCAGTTATAAGATGAATAAATCCTAGGGCAGTAACGTACAACATGATACATATAGTTAACACTGCTGTATGAGAAGAGAGTAAATCCTAAGAGTTCTCATCACAAGAAAAATTTTTTTTCTATTTATTTGATTTTGTATCTACACGAGATGATGGATATTCACTAAACTTATCGTGATAATCATTCCATGGTGTATTAGTCAAATCAGTCTGATGGACACTTTAAACTTGACAGTGCTGCAAGTCAATTATGTCTCAATAAAACTGGAATTAGAAATAAAAAAGAAAGAGCCAGACATGCTGCTAAACATTCTACAATTCATAGAACAGTCTCCCCACAGTAAGAAACTATCCAGTCTAAACTATCTTAGTGGAGATTGAGAAACCCTGATTTATCCTCTAAAAATCATCTCTATGGCAGGGCATAGATGAGAACTCTCTGTACTTCCCGCTCAGTTTTGCTGTGAACTTAAAAAGGCTCTAAAAAAACACATTTATTGATTTAAAAAGTTAGGTTCTATAATTGTGCCTGGGAGTATGTGAACTTGTTTGAAGAATCGTTGGATGAAACTCCTGTTTTTAATTAGACATGTTTATATCCTGTATCAGAAATACTGAAATTGAGAAGGCCTGCAGTTTTGATGCATTTAAATTTAGTGAAACATTCTAAAGCATCAGAGACAGTTTATTTAGCCAATTTTGTCTTGGAAAAATATTTGTTGATGACAGGTAATGAATAGAGATAAAAATAATAAAGTACATTGGAAAGTGTTTGGGTTGATATTTATGCATTTGAATTTCAAAAAATACAATTTAGAATATCCTACATTCAGCAGATGTGCCTTGACCTTATCTGGTACTTTAGCACCTATAAAAAGCCTATTTTCACCATTAAAACTATTATAACCAATGGAAGAGTTAATTGGCCTATCCATTCCAAGTTTATTTTCATAACGTGCAACTTTGGATTGCAAGCTAAATTGGAAATAATATCATATTGAAATAGATAAAATTTTCAGGAAGAGACAGTGAAAGATAATGGCTAAGAAACCTGTTGACAGCTGTGAATATATACTGATGAGAATTATTCTACTCATAATTTTAAAATATTTAACTGTCAATATAAAGCTTTTATTCTGCTTTCACGTAAGTGGATTTTTTTTTTTTAGAAAAATCACTTTAAAAGTTTAAATAGAACCGGTTTAGGACTACCAATTTAATAAAAGTCAACCTTGGTAAATATGTGTTTCAAAAAATTATAGAATTTTAACTTTTTTTTAACATCTCCTTTTACTCTAAAAAGAGAGTCCTGGTTTGGACATTAAACTACAATAATTATTTTTGGTATAACTTAACTTTGAACTCTCAGATAAAGTCAGCATTATGATATTTTAAGATAGAACGTCTAATATAGGTACAAGGATAAGGAATTATCTGGTGAGAGGGCCCTAGAACACTAAAAGTGGGATGGATGACCAGAGTAATCATAACTTGGGGGAATTAGGGGACACATAAGTGGAAGCAGGACTGGGGATTGTGCTCTTTGAAAGCTAAAGGCTCCTCTGCACCTACATCGGAGAGGTGTGCTCTGGCAGCACGACAGCTCTGCCTGCTGTGGAGCAGCGTACTTGTGGGGAAATACAGGACTGCAGATCCAAGGGGCCTGGGAAACAAGTTTACTGAATTGGGTTAAGTTGCTGGGAGTCCCATCATTTGCTTCTGGGCTTCTCTCTTTAATAGCAGCGATAAGTGACTCAGTGGGGATGTACAGTGTCCCCAGTGCAACACCAGCGAAGAAAAATCTGCTGCTGCACCAGCTCCCAGGATGCCTCACCATTATCAGCGGGTATGTGCGAAGGTATGGACCACAGGCATCAACCTGGAGGGTCCTTTGAGGAGTTTATCCCAGATTCCTCTGTTCCTGTGTCCAGCCCAGGCAAAGACAGGAAAAATCCCACACACACTGAAAGTGATAACTTAGAAAAACAGAGAAAGGAGATGCTGGCTGTCATTAAAATATTCCTATAGGTCACCATTAGACAAGTGTGCAGGGAATCATTCTTTGTAATACAGATGATCATTCTAATTTTTTAATAGTTTTGCTAATTGTTTTTTAAATAAAAAACTTGCAGTTCATTAAAATTCTGAGGTATCTTTATAATAACAATAGATAGAAGTCATGAATATTTGTTGATATGATTGAAATAAAGACATCTTCACAGATATCCAAGAAAAGTATAGGTAACCCTTCACTAAAAGGTCATAAAATTAATTTATATCCATGTTTACCCTCAGTTTTATAAACCATAGAAATCACAGTTCTTATATCAGAAGAACAGAGTGTTTTTGAACGCTTGTACCTGTGTTTTGACTGAGATCTGACAATGGATTTTGAAAGGCTTTATTTAGACTATGTGTGTACTTAACATATGTTAATGAAACTGAATGGTTTTTAATGTGTTAAAAACACAAAGAAGCCTGTTCTGCTACTGTTATTCTAGATGGCAGACGGGGGAGGTGCACCCGTTTCCTGGGCCTGTTGTAACAAAGTACCACAAACGAGGTGGCTTACAACAGCAGACATGTTTTCCCTCAGTTCCAGAGGCTAGCGGCTCAAAGTCAAAGTGTTGACAGGGCGGTGCTCTCTCTGAAGCCTCTAGGGGAGTAAGGTTCCTTCCTTGCCTCTTCCAGCTCCTGGAAGCCCCTAATACTCCTTAGCTTGGGGCCATCTCTTCCTCTGACTTCACATGGCCTTCTTCCCTCTGTCTCTCTTTTCTTCTTGTAAAGACACCAGTCATATCGGATTAAGGGCCAACCCTGCTCCAGTGTGACCTCATCTAACATCCATCTTAGTTATACCTACGAAGACCTCATGTCCGCCTACACAGGTACCAGGGTTTAGAACGTCAGTCTATCTTTTGGGGGGACATAATTCAGCCCACAACAGGAGGTTTAACAATTCTAGGCAAGATTCTTGAAGAAACTTCTTGTCAGTGAAGGAAAAATGTGTTATGCTCAGATTATAGGTACCTTTAGGATAATCGTAAGAGAAACGGGGATGTAAACTCAAGACAAAGAGAAATTTGAAAAATCAAAAAAGTTCGGTGAATTTGTGCTACCCTGAAACATTACAATAAATAATATCTTTGGATCTCTTAGAGGAACCTACCATAAAACAGAGTTTCTCATTTTGAGATTTTGAATGATATGATTACTCTACTGCTAGGCATGGATGTGATCAAAGCTCGGTTAAGATAAAAGGACACTATGTACTTACATATGTCATTGGAAATACTTAATGCTATTACTGGCCCCAAAGAAAGTTCAAATGCAAGCCCAGTCATATCTCCATAGAATCAGGAACTACTGGTCTATACTGGTCTTCATTTGAGGAAGTTTCTCTAGGAAACATGAAGTAGTTCATATAAATATGCTGACATCTTTCAACAGCTGGAAAGACTCATGCTGGATGTTAACACAGCAAAGGAGCACTCCAAACTGGAAGAAGAGGCGACTGACATGCCGACACGCCGCTGTGAGAACTGCAGTGGGGGACAGTTACATCGCTCACAGAACACTTGACAATTGGATGGGAAGAGAATTATGTCAGCGCTGAAAGATTTCACAGCCGTACTCCCAAACAAACCTGCAAATGCACATTATAGGTACCGGAAACAAAAGAGCCTATTATTTTGTCTTCTTCTAGTTAAGTGGTAAAGTATGGGCAGTGGCAGAAAAGATCATTCTAAAGGGCGATTTAGCCTCCTGTCAGCACCTGGGTCTTGCTAGTTGTCATTTCCAAATGTATAACTACCTTTCCGAAAAGGCAGGGTTCGGCTTTGTGTAGAATGAACCCAGTCTGATAATTCTTTCTCTACACCCAGAATAATTATTTTATTGTATTGCTTTAGGACTCAGAAAGTTTCAATTTGTAGGCAGGACTTTTGGTACATGACTGAAGGAATGATTAAAAAAATCTGACATTGGAACACTGGGTGGGTAAAACATATTTAATCCCTTGATTTAAGGGAGCTCCTAGGATCCTTCCAAGCTGAAGTAATGGTAAGAAGCAGAACACAGTAACACACCCCAGTGCTTCACGTCGCTCTCCGCATGTAGATGGTGCATAAGGTGCAGCTACATCTTGTTTGGGTTATTAAGCTCTTGTTCTAACCTCCTGACCATCCTTTTTATTTCCTGCTGTGTAATACTGGGCGGGAACCCTGCAAACCACATTTCTCCTTTGCCAGTGGGCTCTTTTTTAGGTTCTGCCACGAGGGGGCACTAGAGGGAGACTGGGAGGCTGCCACTGCCAGGGGCTTGCTCAGTACTTGGAGCCTGGTTCCTGTGACTGTCATTCCAGCCACTGCTGTTCACCCTGGCCGGCAGTACTTGGTTCCAGTTCTTTCCATACGCCCAGAACCAGCCTCACCATATTCCCTCAGAACTCCCCAGTGCCTGTCAACCAGTTCTTTATATTAAATTCTTTCTATTAACAAATTGGTGCTGAGTCTCTTTGCCTGACTAGACCTTGACTGAAAGGCATCTATATCTTAACACAATTTCCCTATATAGTGTTTACTTAACCATTATATTTGCTGTGTCTGTAGGTCATTCACTGCCAAGTACAGCTATAAGAGTTAGATGTATGCATGTGTGTTTGCACGGAGCTGAAAGGCATCGTCACGTGAGCTGCCTAGCCTGTGCCTCAGATTGCTCACCTTAAACAATGCCATAGTGTTCAGATCCTGCCTGGCCTGAAAAATCCTTCCAGCAGGCACTCAGTCATTAGCTGAATCATTACATTATTACATTCCCTGCATCGATGCCCAGAACTTTAGATCATGGCTTTGAAGAATGCTTAGATTACTTGTGTATCCATTCCAAAGCTTAATGAATGATTATCTTGGGATGGCTGAAGTTAAATATTTGAGACACATGGGAAATGGATGTATTAATCTATGCTGGAGAACAACTGCCCATGATAAAAGAAAAGGCACTTTATTAACCAACAACTGGGGCAGATCAATCCTTGGAGGTGCATGGTATTGTGGGAGATTTGCCTTTCATTTTGCTACAGTCAGCCCATTCTGTGATTTAACCCAGAAAGGAAAACCCGACAGTCAGAATATAGGAAGCTTTGAACCAAGAGCATCTTAGGAGCCTCTTATAGTGGCTATAAGAGGCAGATTTAACAGCAGCGGTTCTTCACGTGCATGGATGTGAGAAAGCCAGGGACCTATTTGGGTAGAAAATTTTTACTCACAGAAAGGACTCATGCCATCCCTGAGCACTTTAATAAGAACCAACCTTATAAGCTTGGACAATAAATCACCAAACTTTGATGGAGCACATATGACAACCATGAACAGATTCTTGGAGATTGTGTGGCCTCCAAACTAAAGAGAAAACAGTCTCCCTAAAAGCAGTTGGAACGCCGACGTTGAGGAGGTCTCATACAGAAAGCAGATGTTGCACTCAAAAAATTTTATGTTTTAAAAAGCAAAAGGGTAAATGTGGTCATCCATTGTGAGAATTTCATAGTGTTTGAAGCATTAGGTTTGGAGCCATTAGAGTTCCAAAGGAGTTCAAGTGCACAGAAAGATTTGTCTACAGTGACCTGAAACCTGGGTATGTTACACCCAACCTAGAGATGCACGTAGATGCAGCGGATTTTGCAGTAATTAAAGAAGTATATCTACATAGTGTAACTAATTCCTACTTCCTCCTCCTTGACTTCTGGCTCAGTCATTTCTACTCAGCAACTACAGGTGCATCTGTGACTTTTTGGCTCTGTTTTCCACTGTGAGATTCAGGGCATTTCTCTGATAAATATTTCCAAGGTCAAGGGTAAGAGAGTAGGTGTGAATAGCAAGCATTCAGCAAGGGGACTCCTGCACCCTTATAATCTCTCCTGGTGTCAGATTCCCCTGCTCACCCAGGCTTTTCTGGATCAGATGCTTCATCACCTCATGTAACAGAAACCTCCCTGGTCCTTCCAACCCTGCTTTGCCGCCACCACAGGGAGAACAGAAAATCGCTCCACCAATCCTCTGAGTCCAGTGTGCATTTCACAGCCCTTTTGGCCAGCTTCCATGCATAGTTTATTACCATCACCTGCATGATTTGAAAGATGCTCTCATGTTGCAAAAAGCTTAGAACCTGTCCTGGGATCCCTCCATCCTGCCAGGGGGACCCCCATGATCACTTCCATGTCCTGGTTGATGACTTTTCCAGTATCCTGGCTTCCTGGTACCATATCTCCTCAACTGCCCTCCCTGCTGCCACAGGCCAAGCCATAACCTGGACCTCGACAGGTGACTTCCTTACCGCTGACACCACAAACCCTGAGCTCCTCCTCTGACCCTAAGTCCCTCTCCTTCTATTTAATCTCAGCCCCAAAATGAGTCACTCCTGGGCTCTGATTTATCCTCACTGCAACTTGGCCCTTTCCAAAGTCTTCTTCCAGCTTCAGGAAGTGTTCTCCTCTTGTACCCACCACCCACCTCCATCAGTCATTTCACTTTTGAGACCTTGGCGATTCCCTCACCCTTTTAGAGATTTGGCCCCTGATTTGCCAAACCTGACCCCTAGTCAAGGAGCACCATCAACCTTCGGACACCTCCCTAACCAGAGACCCCAATATCTAACATTTCTGAGCATTTTTACCCATTCATCTTCTCTTAGCCTGAGGACCCCAATTTCAATGCTAGTGTTTGATCTTTTTAAGCCCTTTGCCATGAGGCTCCAGCCGTTACGTTGCACTACACGTTCACTTTGGGCACGTGTAGCTGGCCTACTAACCTACTCCTTGCCCTTCTTCCCAAGCACCTGCATCATCCGTCTTCAAGCCCAGAATCTCCACACCCACCTTTCCCTTCCCTCACCCCAACCCAACTCTGCAGACAGAGCTAGCTCAAATAACCTCAGACCTCTCCCAAGGAATGATTTTAAGTTTCCTGGTTAATAACCGTTATTTCCTGGCCCTCCATCTTGAAGGCCTCTGAACTCCCCTTCACCCTTCTCCCTGTCTACAAGAAGAGCCCCTCCTTTGGGCCAACTTTGGTCCCAGGCTCCTACTTCAGAACACGTCCCTGCTTCCTTCCCTCTAGGAACAGTGTGACAGGAGTGGGGTCCACTCTTCAGTCCTGCACTCATTAACTTTGCAGACAAGCACAACATGTGTTATAATATGATTCCACACCTATGTGGCTAGGTCGGCATAACCCCTTGTACACCCATGTTTTACAGTGACCAGAGAATGAAATAGTTCTGCCGGCCCTGTTTCACTTGGTTTCTGGCAACAAGCAGGGGAGGGAGGCTGCCCTCAGCAGGTCCTCACTCACCCTTCAGTGGCATCATCAGGAGCTACATCGTCACCGGGGGCTGAGGCCATGTCCCCTGCCCACCCCCACCCTCCATCCTGTGCATCAAATCTTGGCAGGCAAGCTGGCTCCTACTGCCGGGCCCAGAGAGTGTTAGAGGTCGGCACACACTGCCTTGGTTCCTCTTGGCGTGTGGGCTGCCTGGCCCCCTCCTCCTGTATCACTGGAGCCGCCCCGGAGCCCAGGTTCCTGGCAGGGACCTGATCTCTGGACAACCCCCTAGCTCCTGAAAGTCATGAGATATAGCAGGGCTTGGTGGACATTTTAGAATTTGAGCACCAGAGACAAAATAGAGGAGGTTACTTAGGACTTAACATCACAAGGAAAAATCACCACCTCACCCCGCCTGTCTGCCTGGGGTGGGCCATCCGGGGGTGGGCCCCCTCTGTGCTCAGGTGCTGTCCCCTGGAGTCAGCTGGAGACGTTCTCGGGAAGAGGAGCGCAGGTCCAAGCAGGAGGGGCCTGGTGGTTCTGGTGGGTGGGGCTCTGGGTGTCACTGGGCAGAGTGAAATGACCGCAGCAGTTGCCCAGCCCCATCCGCCAGACCACATTGCCTTGGATTTACTCCTTAGAGCGAATTGCTGCCCACCTGTCCCCTTGCCTCACGTCACGTGGGCAACAGCAGTGTCTAAGACACTTGGCAGGAGGCCTGCACCTCCGATACCAACCCCAAAACGCACCATGCTGCCTTGGTTCTTCCCAGACCATGTCGGTCTGCTGGCTACACACCCCACATCATCATGGCACACCAGGGCCTCAGCTCCGTGGCCAGGGACCTCGTTTCTGGGGCAGCCACTGAAGTCACTAGAGAATAGCTGCTGCATGATTTGGCTTTTGTCACAGATGTTGTTTGACACCCCAGGCCCCGTTACCCACTCCACCCTCTCAGACTCTTGGCAGGGGGCCTGGGGTACCAGCCACTAAACCATCAGAGGGGGATTAAGCCCTGCCTTGGCTCTTCTCAGAGTATATTACCTGCTTGGCCCCTCACATCCCTGGGGTGACCCCAAAGTGTCAGACCCTTGGCAGTGGGCTGGGCCCCTGGTGAAAGCTCTGTATTTGCAAGAAGTGGTCCCCACATTGCCTGGGGTCTTCCTAGAACTGATTGCCTGACCCGCCACTCACCCCACCTCGCTTACATCACGGAACCGCGCCAGTGCCGGGGGCTCTTGGCA